CAGGTCTGATGCATATTTACAAAACAGGTCCTTCTGAATTGCAGGTCTGATGCATATTTACAGAACAGGTCCTTCTGATTTGGACCTGCTTACATCCGACCCAACCCCTTAACTATCGTGAATTTACAACTTTCACCCCTGTCTTGACCTTTTCTTTCACTTTTGATCCGATTTTTAAACTTATTTTAATTTCTATTTTTATTTAACATATATATATATATATAAATAAAATAATAATAAAGATAAATTATTTATTCCTTGAAATTTTTGGGTTTTACAGTTCATTTATTAGCCGTTTCCTTTTTACCTGTTTTCTGTTTAGAATGATTAAGTCATTGGATATTTAAATGAATAAGTCATTGGACTTTTTAAAATCTATTAAAATACATCTTATTACTTAAAAAAATATCCTGCAACCTGTATAGGAGGTAAAAGTCCAAATTAAAGAAAACCCTAAAAACTATCAGAATAGTCCGCCCCATTCCATGCTTGCCCACGGTCGTTTTAATTTAAATAACATTTTGTTTTTAGTGACTATTACTTACATTCTGTATTCATCATTAAATACATTCTCTGGTGAGATTGTTGTTGGACTTCAAGAAAAGTTGCACGAAAGTCATGTATGTATCTAAACCATAAATAGATTGGAAATGCAAGTGAAGAATAGTTCATGCCATTGCCTTCAATATAAACTAGACATTAGTTGGGTATATTTTGGTGCAACTTTTGATATATTTTGGTGCATATTTTGGCACAACTTTTGGTAATTTTTGGCGCAAGTTTTGGTATATTTTGATGCTACTTTTAATATATGTTGGCGTAATTTTTGATATATTTTGATGCCACTTTAGTATATTTTGGTGTAATTGTCGTATATTTTGGCCCAACTTTTAAATATGTATTTACTTATGCTTTAAGTACAACTTTTATAAGTTTTGGACTTACTAGTGATTTGATAAATGTAAAATTTATTCATCATAAAGATGTATTTAACAGTTTCAAAAGTCCAAAAATTTATTTAACAAAGCTTCAGAAAGTCCAATGATTTGTTGATTCAAATAAAAAAAATCCAATAACTTAATCATTCTAAATAAAAAAGTCCATTAGATTTTTTTAGATCATTGATCATTACCCATTTCCTTACCGGTTATTTTAAACGGATAAAGGTAATGAAATGACAATTGCCCTATCCAAGTTTACATCTCAACAAGTCATCAAAAAAGTAAGGGTGTTTTGGTAATTGTTGAATCATGTGGTTCAAAATAATTAAGTAATCAGAATGATTAAGAAGCTTTTATGATATAATGCAAAATGAAATATAATTGTTTAATAATTAATAAGAGTAAAATTAGGACGCTGAATGGTTAAGGAAGGCCCAAGATACAAAATCACTTTTTTTTTGTCAAACAAGATTCACCTCTTAACGATTCGGAAAATACATCTTAATGAAACTATTAAAAGGTAAACAAACAATCATTGGGACTAGAAAAATATTACCATCCTCCCATAGCAGCTTGAACAAGTTTTACCCAACAACTACAAACAGAAATCAATATTAGTTACTCCCCAACACCCATTAGAATAGGACTAGGATCATATTATCATCCTCATATAGCAGCAGCATATAGCAGCAGCATATGTTACATGACTTTTCCACCAAATAAGCAGCCTACCGCCTAAAAGCGTTTTCTTCGCTCCTTCGTTGTGAATAATGTGTCCGACGACGAACACTCTCCTCTATGGTGGAGCTGCCACCCTTCTCAGCTCCAAAAACGCTTTTATGAGCAGCATCCAAGAAATTACGCCCACTAGAACTAGCACGTGTAGCTTCCTTAGCATCATCATCAGCAGCCTGCTTCAACCGTTTCCATCTTTGTTCTTCATGCACTTCTGCATCCATTTGCATCTCCTTTAACTTTGCAGCTCTTTCTTCTTCCGAAAGTTTCATGCTGCTATTTCGTCGGTTATGTTCACCGACTTTGTGATGGCGTGGTGGAAGATGCTTTCTATCTTCCCCATCTCTTTTACCAGATTGAGAGCCAATATGGTCTTCCCTATCTCTTTTAGCAGATTGAGAGCCAGAATGGTCTGCCTCATCTCTTTTAGCAGATTGAGAGCCAAAATGGTCTTCCTTATCTCGTTTAGCAGATTGAGAGCTATAATGGCCTTCCCTATCTCGTTTAGTAGACTGAGAGCCGGAATGGTCTTCCCTGTCTCTTTTAGTAGATTGAGAGCCAAAATGGTCTTCCTTCTCTCTTTTAGCAGATTGAGAGCTAAAATGGTCTTCCCTATCTCTTTTAGTAGATTGAGGGCCAAAATGGTCTTTCCCATGATATCTTTCATGTTGATACCTGTCACCATCCCTTACACGTTCAGTTTGAATGTTCCTCTTGTGTTTTGAATAGTGGCTGGAACTGGTACTTCTTTGTCCTTCCCCTTGTCCAACATCATCATCTGAGTTGATATGATGTTTGGATGATGTATGCTTTTCATGTTTCAACTTCTTGCGGTGATGTTTTTCTTTGTGCTTTTCTCCATCTGATGTTTTCTCCTTGTGCTTCTTTGCTTCAACCTAAGAAAGAATAAGATTACGATGGTCAGATACAGCCAATAAATTAAGCAAACATATGGAATGCATTCACAATAAAGCCATATATCAGATATCACATGTTAACTTACAGATTTGTGGATCATAGCCATCTGGACTGGATTATTCTTCACACGAGCTAGTGCTTCCTGTTCACGCTGCTTTATTAAAAGCAAGGGATCGGAATGCAGTTTCCTCCATGCATCATTAGCAGACTGAGGCTTATCTTCAAATAAAGCCCCTGGCGTAGAGGCCTGTTGCACCATAGATGATTAAATATGAAGCACCCAGAACATATAAAATATTCAAAAGTATAAAAAATAATGTTAAATTAAAAATACACAGAGAATGTGATCATGGCATATAATACAAGGGTAAACGTAGTTATAATGGTATCACTTGGTTTCAGGTGTATCTTGGAATATGCGTCAGCAGTTCAGAGCAACTGATAAAGGATTTGTAATTTTAATAGAAAAATCAATTATATTCAAATTACTTGGTTTCAGATGTTGGAAGATGAACCATAGTCCGATAATGAAAACGGGCCCCTTTTAAAAGTTTCATCTACAACAGCAGCTAAATTGCTGTTGTACATGTATCTAAAAAACTACTTGTGTACATGGCATCCAGAGTTGGGATATAAACTCATTTGAGTCAACTACATGTAATCGGTCAGAGTTAGCTCAAGTCCCTATTAGTTCAGAGTTGGGATACAAACTCATTTGGTTCTACCCCAGCAGCCAGGCTAGTTAACAAGGCTGTTCTTTTATCATTTTCATTTTAGTGTTTGCAGGTTCAGCCATGGTAGTGGCGTATGTTGTCAAGGTTTGCCAGTTTGTTGGTCATTGTTGCATTGCAAATATGTAGCTATCGGGTGTTAGGGGTGTAAGGCAAACAACTTCATGTTGTTAGAATAGGATTGCAGTTTCACTGTAGTAATGATTGGTGTATACCTTCCTCAAGTGTAACCTCATTGGATCTCCTAGATGCAAATCCTGTTTTCCCCCAAAAAAACCTACTGTTGTATATCGCCATGCTCAGATGCCAACAGCAGCAGATCCACCATCAAGTAGCAGCTGGCTCTCATCCCCATGCTGGCAACAGTCAGATACCGGCCCCTTTTCCTAGTACATATGACATTACCGATTCCACATTAGGAATCCTAACATGTTTCTTTTTAATCAATAAAGAGGCTTCATCTACGACTAATTTAGAGGGTGTAGAGGGAATGTCTCTTCACCCTCGAGGTGTTGAATTATGCAGGGAAGCTGTCTGTTGCATATCAATGACTGACAAGCACCAGAAAAGCCTGAAGAACGGTGGGTTCTTTGGGTTAAGCACTTGCATGCATAAGTTACCAAGAGTCTTTTGATAGAGACTCTCTTGGTGTTCACCAATTTAAGAGTTTGAATGGGCCCCAAACACTTTTTCCTACATTGAAGTCTCTTATAAGGCCTGAAGAGAAACCTCATAACCAGGCGGTCCTCAAGAGAGGGGACACTGCTCAGATTAGACCCATCAACCTATCTCATGAGCACTAGCTTGCCTTCGCCAGGACAAAGCTCATCATCCTGTCCCTTGGGAGGGTGCTTTAGGCAGGGGCGGATCTACTGCATACATTGTAGGGGTCCTAGGCCCCCAACTAACCCACCAATTTTTTTTAAAAAGGCTATAAAAAATTGTTTAGTAGATTTTCTTGTTGTGCGCCCAACAAGAACAAGGCAAGGGCCCCCAACTTGAAATCCTGATACTTAATCGGTCCATTTGCAGCATACACAGATAGGTTCGTTCGAAATATAAAATATAAAAATTATAAACCTCGAGTCAATAAACGAGTTAATCGATCACGAGTACGAGCCCGTAAACAAACATCGAGCTCGAGCTCTGTAAATAAAAAAATATTCGAGCTTGAGCTTAAGCCCTACATTGAAAAGTTGTTCGAGCTTGGGTCAAGCTCGAGCCTGGTGTAATTTTTCTAAGGCAAGCTCAAAAAACCTACTACTCGACTCTCCTCGTTTACACCTCTACACACAGACACAATGACAACGCTCTCATTTTTTACTCCAGAGTCCAAACAAACGACCACTCACCACTAGGCACTGGCTCATAGCTCAGGAGCTCGAAATCGACCACCAAGTGCCAACATGTTAACTGAACGAGTCGAATTTTGTTTTAATGTGTAATTTGTTCATTTGCTTTAAGTTTAAACTATATAGAAAATATATATAATAGTAGAATAATGAGTCAGTTTAACCAAATTAATAAAAAATCAACTGAAAACCGACTTGAATAAGTTATTTTTATTCAGTTAACTGAACCGTTTAAGCCGAAAAGGAAAACCCAAAACCATTTTCATCCAGAATTATTCCTTCGGTTTTGAAATTTTTCTATACCCCCAAGTCCCAACTATAAAAAGTTTCTGCATTAGCCACTGGCTTTAGGTTTCCTACTCTGATAAGGCCCACCACCTGTTTTCAAGCTATTCCTCTGCACATCAAGAACTTTAGTAATTTGTCTACCCCCAACCACCACTATGGAACCTCACTTCACACAACTTTCTGTTCAATTTCTGGTTTTTCATATGTTTATCTTATCCGGTAAGATGGTTGATAATCAAGAATACTTCCTCCAGTTTTTTTGGCTGTTCAAGACCCCTCTTAAACTCAATAACTCAATTAGGATATAGTGGTGAATGTGTGTAGAAACCAAGTTTAAAATCTAAAATAATACAACCATCTGCCTCAAATACTCAGTTAAATACTCTGTTTGATGACAGAAAAAGTGACAAATTTTTGAAAGATCATATACAACACCACTGATCCTATTCTTGTTCATATCCATGCATTAATCCACCATCAAGAGGCTCTGGAGCATCTACAGCCATCCTATTGTAGGGAACAATTTAAGCCTTAATACTTTACCAAATTCAATAGGTTTATGTCAAACTCCAAAAAACTTATTACAACATGGTCACAAAGAAAAATAGGGATAGATATTGTTTATCTTCAAGGAGTGCCTCCTCCCAGACTCTTGTCCAATTTTCTAAGCCACTGGTCATTTCCTAATTGTCATCCACATATTATGTATTCTTGATGTACACATCTAAGGTGAGATCCTACGCAGTTAGCGTGGTCGTTTTCAAAGATCGCTGTTAGGGACGTGATATGAACTCACAGTTATCACGTTGGTAAAGAGATAAAAAGATTAAGCTCATAAAATAAATACAAATATATATATGCACACACATATACATATATATAACTTTTTACATATATACATATATTTAAATCATAATCAAAGTGGTGACCAGTGTCCAACCATTAAGTCATTGACAAAGTGGTGTTGATCCAACCATTAACATCAGTTGCAGAAAACACAAAACAGAGACATGTTGAACTTGACATCCGAAAGTGGTGTCCGACCAGAAAACAGAAACCAACAGCAAAAGCATTGAATTCCACAAACTGGAAGTGTGGAAGGGACCAATTGCTGACTTTGAAGTCTGGAAGGGATGAAGTGGAAGGAACAAATTGGAATTCTAGAAGCATGGAAGTGTGGAACATGGAACAGGAAGCCTTGACAGGACCAATATGTGACTAATCGTTGCCTTAAGTAATGGGTCAACTAAAACAAAACCCAATCTCAAGCCCTAGTCAACGGCTAAAATAGAAGCCGCCAAAAAAGAAGCCCATTTAACAAAATAACTGCCAAAACTACAAAAGCAGTATCTCGGCTGCTACTTTGGGTACCAATAGCGGTGAATAGCACCGCTATTTGCACCATCAGTACCACAATTAGCCCACCACTATCTCTCATACCTCTGCTAACCGCTATACTTACGGGAAAAGAAAGGAGAACTTAACCTAGCATCTAATTGCAACTATTGCAAGAAATTGTGATACAAAGACTGATCCATTTGATAGGGTGAGAGCCATATCGCTCTTGTTCATCTGTGTCCTCCTAATGCAAAGACTGATCCATTTGATACCCTTTTCTAAAGGGCAGTTCTGTCAGGAAAATATTTTCACACACCGGGATCATCCTTTCAAATCAGTTGCAATACACTCCAAGTTGCCAGTTTAGCACAGACGGGTATACCTTATATCTATTTCATGAAATGTTCTTTACCTGGATGATTAATTGGTTCATTGAATAACTTAAATTGCCTACTTAAAAATGATTTTGCACTGGTTTCAATATTTATGATTTTCTCAGTAATAAGTACTAGGAACAAAACAAATTGCAGCGAAAAGAAAATTGCATCAGACAATTAGGTACCTTGTTCGCAGATGAGGGCTGTTCAGGTTCTGCCTTAGCGGGAAATGATTCAAGAGCCTTGAATCCATCAGAATTGCCCTTCCCTACGGCTAATCCAGAATCGTATAAGAAATCCAATCTTTCTTGCTTCCTGCAATACTTATAAATTCGATCTAGAAATTGGTACAAAAAAATTTAAAGATAAAACCCTAACCCTAATTCTTCAATAAATTAATAAGAAGTGAGAGAGAGGCTTACGGAACTAAGCCGGCTTGTTCCTGAAGGAGACGAAATTCGGATCTCTCTCTTTCTTCGTGGATTTGCTTCCGGAGTTCCTCAAGCTTCTTCTGTTCAGCGTCATGCTTCTGCTCTGCTTTCCAAACATTTTCTATGTTCCGTAGACTACCCGTGTGCCACCCTTTCTTGTTCAGAAACTTCAAGGCCATTATTGTTGATTAAGAAGAAGATGAGATTAGAAGTGATTCTGGATTCTGGATTCTGGTTTGTGGAGCTGAAGATCGACAGCAGCAAATTTTGTTTTCGATGGTGCTTGATTCGCTTAACCGGTTATATGTAAAGTAAATTACAAATTTGGTCCTTGGGGTAACGAAATATAAATTTGTGACCCTTTGGTTTAAAAAGACAATGAAAATGATTGTAGATGTTTGGTATTATATTATGTAATTAATGATTCACAATGGGTTAAAAACTATTCCATCCTCATGTTATTCTTGTATCTTCTTAAAGAGAATAATGAGTATTTTTGGGACTTCTGACTTCTTTCTTAAGAACTCTACTCATCAACCAGAACTAAGATGTACTTTCTTCTAGAGAGATTTTGGGTAGAAACGGAACCACCGAGGGTATGTAGAATTTCCAAAGTTTCAGAACAAGAGGTATTTGTCTTGGATTTATGAGCAACCCTCTTAATTTTGCCAATTTCATAAGCAGAACAGAGATGGTCATTGTCAAACTTGATATCCAGAAGACCTTTGACTAACTTATGCTTGTTTAACTTGTTGATATTTTAGAAATTTAAGTGAGGAAACATTTTGTACCACAGCTAGCATTCCTTATTTTCTTTTAGAAACAAAACAGAGTTTTTCTAGACTGACAGTAGAAGTGAAATCTATGACATATAGATCTCCATGTCTCTTTGCCCTCAAAAGTTCTTGATGGTCTTGGGTTTCAATAACACAGTACTCGTCTTCAGATATGACTCTAAACTTCTTGTCATAGAACTAGCTAATAATCAACAAATTATGATGAAGTCTATTTACATGATGTATTTTGGAAACAGAGATGTTTCCTTTTATTAAATCACCATTTCCTTTAATTACTCACAGAGACTCTCATTTTATCTTTATATGAGGATAATTGACTTTTGTCACCAGTCATGCGCCTTGAGCATACAGAATCCAAATACCAAATTTGCACATGTTGTTTTTTGCAAAAACAAATTAAGGAGTTTTAAGTACTCATCTCATTATGGGTCTTTTCTTGTTAGCTTTAGGGACTGGTGGTTTGCCTTTGGTGTTTTTAGACTTAGGCTTCTGTTTGGGAATCTTTTGTTGAGCCTTTAGATTTTCATGTATAAACATGGGCTCTTGCAGAATACACTTATTTCCCAAAAAGTGCTTCTTAAGTTGATTCAAGATATTAAAGCAAAGCATGCAATGATTTGACTGCTAGTTAACTCTTATAGATTTCTTTGAATTTGAAGTTCTAGCTATTGAACCAACTTTCTCAGTGATTTGATGATGACTCGTTTACTTAGTGAAATTACATAGTTCTGTATTAAGTGTTTTAGTTTTAACAATCAGATATAACTGAGTGATGATGATGACTTTTTTACTTAGTGAAATTACATAGTTCTGTATTAAGTGTTTTAGTTTCAACAATCATATATAATCGAGTCTGTTCAGTTATAGTTGAATGCGTAATACAAAAATTTAGAACTTAAGTAAATCCTTCAAGACAAACTCACACCAAAATGAAACTTTAGTGATGTCAAAGAAGTAGCTGAAAATAAAGTTGGTCTAGTCGGGATCTGAAGAGATATTCAGTGATACCATGACTATCTACCTAATAGTGTGAAATCTGACCAATACTCAGCGATAGCTAAAGAAGTCCTCAGCAACTCATCTCTACAGTTAGATCAAGCCTTACAATTCAAGATGGTTTTGTCTTACTCTCTTACACAAAAGTACATACCCCATACGTTGACCAGACAAAGGTACGGTACAATTTGCTTTTCTATCTACAAACATGCTTACCAAGTATCTAAAGCAACTGTTCATGAGCAGCCAAAAGCCTGCCATATTTGAAGAACAAGGTCAAGCATTCCACTTGTCACCTGAGACGTGGATTGTACCTCCTGAGGTTCATTTAATGCAATGAGTATAAATAGATAAGAAGAGTCTTCTTCTTAGCTATGCTTTAAGTTCCTTGCAGATTGAGTTCTTTCAAAGGTCTTTTACTCCTCTTGAATACATAAGACTTTAGGTTTTGAAAAATCTATTTTTTGAACAAATGTAATGTTAAAAGTGAATGAAGTACTTGCTTCTCTATTTCAACATATGATCAATATCATTATAACTCAAAAACTTCCTATCAACTCCACAGTTGATCTTTTCATACACATTTTGTGCATCTTTGTATTTCTTGATCAAGAGTTCATTAGTCATAAGTTTTTGATGTAATACTTCCCTTTCCTTTTGAAAGAAATTCTTAAGAGTAACAGAGTTTAATCTTTCAGATTTAGAAGCATTTAGCTTCTTTTCCTTTTCTTCCAATTATAAATTCATTTTCTTGTTCTTCTCCATAAGCATAGCTACCTTTATTTTTTCTTAGATTTTAAATACTTCGTTCTTTTTAACAGTCTTCTTCTCTTCAGTGAGACGGTTGGTTTCTCTTTTATAAAAATTGGCTTCTTTTCAGGCTTTTCCTTTCTTCCTTTTCCAATTTCAACTTCTTTTTAAATTTTTGAAAATCAATAGAGTTGATGAATAGTCATTTCAAGATCAATTGAAATACTAGTTAGAATTTACCTTTTCCTCTTCAGTTTCAGAGGCAGTGTCACCAGAGATAGATTCCTCTGTAGTGTGATCCATGAGGCAAATGAATGTCTTGTCCTTGAGTGTTGGCTCATCATTAGATGTAGAGTCAGAAATCCAATTTTCTTGTTCTTCCATTAGACTTCCCTCTCTATTGTTATAATTGTATTTGTTTTTGTAATAGTCAACATCCTTGACAAGTTTACCTCTACAGTGAGCTGCATAATGGCTTGGCTTGCCACATCTGTAGCATTTAGCTATCTTTGGTCCTCCTTTTTTTATACATTTATTCTCCTATTTTCTCTCGTACCTTTGGTATTGCTTGTAAGTCTTTTGTTTAGCTTGGTGCTTCTTGTACCTTTCACTTTTGTACTTTCTTTTATGATCCTTATCTTAAGGCCTTTTTGCAAATTTATTCCGAAATTCCTTGGTAATTAATGCCAAGGATCATGCAAATGCACTAAGATTATCATCAGGATCAAAAGATTCTGGCTCTGAGTCACTTTGTATGATCAAGGCTATACTTTTTTCTTTCTTCCTTGCCACTTCTCTAGATAAGTTCTTAATCATGTTTTCCTTCTCCTCTGAAACAATATCCAGAGGACCACCCAGAGACACCTCCCTTTTGGTAATGGCATGTTTCTATGTGGCAAGAGTTCCATAGACATCATGCAAAGACCGGCTATCCAGATCTTGGTTAGCATGTAGAGACATTTCCAGCTCTGTCCATTCATCATTCAAACTTTTGAGGAATAGAACATTGTTCTCTTCTCTGGTTCTAAGGATATCATTTCTTTTGCATTGATTAATGAAAGTGTTGAAACTATCATATGTCTTATATTATGGATTCATCTGGTAATGACTTGAAATTGGTGTAGTTATTTTTGCATTGAGCACACCTATTCTTTTTTTTTTCTTCGCACCTCCTTCAAGTTGACTCGCAAGTTCATCCCAAATCTCCTTAGCAGTATTACAGGAGTCAATAGATTGAAAAATCTCATTGGGAATAGCCATGATAAGTTTACCAAGTACGAGTTTTGTTTTCAAGAGGTAGAGTTTTTGGGCCATTTGGTGTCTAGAGACAGAGTAAAGGTGGAGCTGGTCCAAGATTGAAGTAATAATGAATTGGGAACCACCAACGAGCCTAACAAAAATCAGAAGTTTCTTGGGATTAACCGACTACTACTGAAGGTTCATTAAATACTTTTCAAATAACACTTTACGACTAACGGACTTGACAAGGCAGAATGTCAAATTTGTGTGGTCCAAAACTCAAGATCAAGCTTTCAGAATTCTTTAAATGAAGTTGTTTGAGGTGCCAATCTTATTTCTACTCGAAGAATCTGAAGATTTTGTGGTCTTTAGCGATGCCTGTAAGATGGGCTTGGGATGCGTATTGAAGCGAAGAGGGAGAGTAATCGCTTGCACGTCCCGTCAACTCAAGGAACACAAGAAGAACTACCAAACTAGCGATTTGGACTTGGTGGCGGTAGTCTTTGCATTAAAACTGTGGTGACACTATCTTAGGAGGTTATTACCCTCAAAAGTATTGGTTACAAATTGTAGTTAACTGGCTTATTTAAATTTTCCTTTTTGGAAGGCCCGTATTTTTGATATTTATATACCACATTTTATGTTTTCTTTGGAAAACTTTGTTGTCCCATTTTTGGGTTTACACCATAGACCAATAATGCCAAGCGCCCAAGCCAACTTCGATGTGAAACCTTAACCCAAAAACCCACCCGAGCCCGCCCTACCCAAACTCCCCCCTTCCACCCGATCGAATCACTAGTCGAAACCTTAGAGTTTGGCCCTTGAAAACTCACCTCTAATCGGATTTCATATCTCGCTACCTAAACCCGTCCGATGCTCCCCTAGCTTTTGGTGAGTATTGGTAGATGCTTCACTTACAAGTTTCACATTCAACTTTGAGGGTCTCATTGTTGAGTGATCGTTCTTCAAATAGGGTTTACTTATCTTATACCTTGATCAAACACTGGATGTAGACTAGAAGAGACGTTGAACGAGTTCAACTTTCATTGTCTATTAGTTCATCTTTGTCTTCGACTCGCTAAACTCTAATGAACCTCTCTCAGTCTTGATCTAATACTTGGTATGTTCAAAGTCTATCGCTAGTTGAACATACAATGTTCAGACTTAGCATTGAACATTCTAAAAGTACATTTACTTATCGCTAAAGAATGAAAGGCACTGGATAAGAACAAATAATTCTTTCAAGTGTTTTGAAGTGTCATCATCGAAGTACTAATTAGAGGAACAACAAAAATCATGGCCAAAGCTTCCTTATCTTCAACTAGTTTCAAATCCACAACTTCAACCTCATCACTAAGTCATCCCATTACTCGATATGCAAATTGGTGCCCGAAACATCATACGAACCGTTTACATACGTAGAAGATGATGAAGACCTACTACTATGGATAACAAACACATTTTCATCTTGGCCAGAAATTTTATCGACTATTTGGCGTGCACAACAAATCAACTAATCCTCCTACAGGTAATTAGTCTCGAAAACCACATGACACTAAACGATAATTTAGCTCTGAGACCACATGTTGGGGATAATTTTCACAAACCAATGCACAACAGCCCTGAACAATATAAAAATGTGCACATATGTAACCCAACACCAATTCCAAAGCAAACAAACCCCAAATGTATTCAAATGTACCAACCACGTAATAATGCAGTACTAAATCGATATCCAATAAATAAATGCAAGGAAACATGAACAATTCAACAATTAACATGGCTCAATCATTGCGAGTAGGGGTGCTCATGAGTGGATTGATCAGGTTGAAGTCATTCAACAATCCAACTCAATGTTGGCAGTCTAAAAATTTTCAACCCAACCTGTTTGGGTTGGTCGGTATGGTTGGGTTGGTCGGATTATGTTTAAACGAAGTAAAATCAACATTGGGAATAAAAAAAAAATGAAGGAGCCCTTCCTTTGAAATACGATCAATCATTTATCATTCACGAGAATATATAGTTCATCAAATATTTATGTACTACATATAACTTTCCAGTAATGTCCTCTTTTGAGTTACATTGCTCGTTAATGTCGAGTTGCTTTTTGGTAACTATTAAAGAGAAATACAATAGAGACGTCGCTGAAATTTTCATCAGATTATCGGGTACTTTAGGCCTTACCCAATCTCAACCAAATAAATTCGATTTCCCTAAATTTTTATCATTATATGCATATTACCTCATGTTGATTTTTTTCAGGTTTTTTCGGGTTGGGTTGACAGGGTTGGTCGGATTGATCTGTTCTTTTAGCACCCATAATCGTGAAACAGTGTACGTCTATAAGAGAGGGTGAAACTTTTTATGTTGATCAAAAATGGAGGATCAAATACAATAAGGTTTACCTTTCACAAATATCCTACAATCTGGAAGTAAACCTATTCAATAGCACCCAACTTTTTGCTCAAAAATGGCATAGGGAAGACGTTTTGAGAAGAAGTTAGTAAAAACCTACCTAAAATGGTGTTTAAACCTGTCCGAATGCATCCCACAACCTCATATGCGATCCAAGGTCTCGAGAGATTTAGAAACTTTGTGGCTTGTATTTGATGTGTTTGAATCCTTACAATGTTCTATTTGAATCTCCTCATCATTTTTCAATCAAAACACCGAAAAAATGACTGCTCTAATTTCAAAAAAAGAAAAGAAAGGGTGTATACAGACGGACATTCATTAACCCAACTAACCAATAGAAATGTATGCTACTTATTGAATCGTTCGTTATCAACCTGGTAACTACCAACCGACTAACTAACATACTTTGAGCTATAAAGTAACCGTAGCGACAATACGAAAAGACGACAATAAAGTTGTGTCCGTGGAGAAATATTTGAAATTTTGAACTGGTTTCTTCTGGGGTTGTTGGTGAGAAGCTATCCTCCTATCGATCATGATGATGTTCTCTTTCACGGGTAATCTGCATCGCATTCTTGTTTGGCGGTTGTGGTTGATGTTGTTTAAGCCTGGTGAGTTTTTACTAGTAGTACACATTAAGTTTGATTCAAGGGGTAACTTATGGTTAAAGCTTGGTTGGTTTAATGCAATTTTCTGTTATATACATACTACACATGTATAAAATGCAATTAAGTTGTATCCACGCGAAAAAACCATTTTATTATACGATATTGAATACATACAAATCTCTTATTTGAAAAAAGAGATTTTTTCTTGAATGAATCGAAAAAATGACAGCACCTTGATTCGTGGACATGCAACAAAGCGTCTTAGAAGAGGTTGCTACAACGTAACTGCATTAGATGTCCCCGTAAACTGCAGTCTTCCAACTGTGAGATGTGTGTCTTTGCCAAAATACTACCACATTCCTCAACTAATGCTTTTTCTACATCAGCAATGGTTGCTAACTCCGACATCAAAACATCCATTTCTTCTGCCTGCATTCGACAACAAGATTCTGTAATCAGTAGTTAATCAGATCAAGATGGTATGTAATTTTAACATTTGACAACAGTGTGTGTAGTACAATGGTCAAAGCATGGCTAATGGGGGTAAAAACAGATAACACACCAGAATATAATAATACCAAGCATAAAATCATATAACCCCAATATCTATCTATAAGGACATTCAACATCAAGAATTCAACATTGTGCATTGCTTGCTGTGTAGTGAATTTCTTTTTAAAAATGTGTTGAGATCAAACAAACTCATGTCTCCTATTGGTATTATTATTACCTTAGGCAAAAATCTTTGCACGTCGTGAATTATTGTGTCCATAGTTTTTACCGACGAATCCAAAGCCTCTGCTGCTTCTTTAATGTTAACCTGCCACAAAGTCTCGTATGTTTGCCATCACCAAAACATTTTGATAAAATGAAGACAGAGAGAAGAAAGACGGTTGGATCTTTACCTGAACATTCCCACTTACAGGAAGCCGGAGCAAGGAGTTGGTCAAAGCATTTGTCGCTGCTGACAAGGAACATGTGTAATCTTCTTCCAAAGCAGACCATTCATCAAGATATGGCATCTAAGTTTATCCAAAAAAAATAAATGAAGTCATCTTACAGAAGGGTCATGATGATGAAAAAATTGTTGTAATGCAGGATTGGTGTATGATCTTACAAACTGATTTAAAGTCTGTGAGTCATTAATCTCTGATTACAAGTAAAGCTCAAAAGGGTATATGGAATACACACAGAATACAAGTATAAGTACTCGTTAAGGCCTGGACTCTTATAGCTAATATATTCGCAAATGAGATACAGCCTGGAATTGTCTCCAAAGTATTTTTCTTGAAAAAATGTCTGAATTAGACTCTTCTTTGAACAAGAAAAACTATATATATATATATATATAAATATATATATCAGGTAGCAGCCTTACCTGAGCCTCAAGAATGGTGGAAAGTGCTTTCATTTGTTGTAGTGCCGCAAGTTCGACTTGTTTCCTCTTCACAGAATCACGTAGACGAGATATATCAGCTCCAAGGGAGAAAAATTGATTCTACAGAAAGAAACTGACTTATTAAACATTATGTCAAAGATCAATAGAGAATGATAGTTGGTGCTTTAATGAAGAATAAATGAATGCAATTACCAAATAGTAGGAACAATCCTTTCTATATAATAATGCAACCAGATAAGCACTTGATGGCTCCTTTCTAATGCTTTTGAAGATGAAAATGATGCTAGAAGATTATTATTGCACATATATATACAAATAGATCATGAATTATCTGCCATATACTCATATCATCCAAAGCATCTAACTTTGTCAAAAAAGATTCTTCATGTACTCATGATTATCAGCAATTTTCACTGCCATATGTTCAATATTTACATACATAGTAGCACTCCATGTAAATTGGACTTCCCTTCTCTTTCCTTTTCCAGTTTATGGCATTAGCAGGTCTAAGCCTATCAAATGCATTTAACGATATGCACTAACATGGGTATCCTATGCCAGTAAATTATGATCAACAATAAGGAGAGACAAACCTCCATTTCGGCTCTCTGGGCATCCATAGAGACTTGTGCTTTAGCATTGGCATATCTCCACAGTAGGTAATGGTTATGAAACAGTTTCAAAGAATGGGCGTCTTCTTGGGAAGAATGAGGTCTCTTTCCTTTCCTTGAATCAACTCCGAGTTTCATACTAGTTGGTTGTGGAGGCAGGGTACGGTTTTCCATACTTGTGGTCGGGGGCTTGCAGAGAGTTCTGTCACTGCTTTTGAAAGAATTCTGACTAGCGGATATGGGTAAATTAAGAGATCGGGAGCAAAGTGAAGGTGTTGAGAATTTGGATGATGTTTGACAATTGCCACTGGCAATAGTATTGCTGCCGCTGCTACTTCGAACGAGTAATCTGGTGGATAATGTATCTTCTTCTGTCATGGAAGACCTCGTATCGTGAAGGGCCCGATTTCTGGTGTGTTGGGAGGAGAGAGGTGAATTAGGGCATGAACCGCCCTGAATCGGTTCCAATTCATTTGCGGAGGGGGTTTGAGAAACTGATATGCCTGTATCGTTACTGGAACCAGAAGAAGGTTCTAGACCAAGATTGGATGAGGAGAAGGACAAACCCGTCGATTGCAAGAGTTTTGCAGCATCAGTTACCGACGAACTTGTTTGACGCTGTGGGAGCCTGAACCTTGATGGAACGACTCTATCGGATGCACCACAAGTAGCAGCAGTTGGCGTATCAGGTCTGCACGACTTGGCTGTTCTTATAGATGTTGATTTTGCGATCTGATCTCCATATCCATTCTCTTTACAGAACTTCACAGGACGTTGTTTCCTCAAAGTTTCAGGTTTTGCGTGCTGGAACGGGGTGTCCAAGCTCCGAACCATCTCGGGGATATTCTCATGGGAACAGCAGGAAAATGGTTCCTGTTCTTGGCTGCGCAGCAACAGACGTCTCTGCGACGGCTTTGATGATCTTTCAGGTGCGGGAGTCGAGATGGCGTATTTAGATCTGGAAATGGGCGACTTCATGGATAAGGAATGCAGATCTCCTGCTGATGAAGAAGCTGCTGCTGGAGACATGAATCTGGAGCTGACCTCTCTGACTCTTGGGCGACGATGGGGCAGAGGAGGAGCCCCCTGATCAGCTGGAGCAACTGGTGCCGCCATGGAGTTGCTTGCAGCTTTGAGTCTTGACCTTGAGAATGGGAGATGGAAGAAGATGGAGAAAGTAGCCGTTGCTGGATCTCTTTTGAAATGGAACTAACGGTTCAGAAGCATCATTATATTACACAAACAATCTTTGTCTTTCTTCAAAAAGCTTGTTTCAGCTTCTATGTTTTATATTTTATTTTTTTAATTTTTAAAATTTATTATTTTAATTCCATAAATTAAATAGTGGATTTTTCTAAATAACGTATTATATTAATTTTAACAAAATTATACTCAATTACATCCTTTTATCCTTCTTCATTTCTTTTAAAAAAATCATATAATTTATATATATATATATATAGGGTCAAGTTCAAATGTTAACCAAAGTTTTTATGTTAACTTTGTTAACCGATTTTGGTCGTTGAATCCTTCAATAAACGGTTGTGATTAATCACGATAAAAACTTATTTTCTTAAATTTAAAATTTCATAAAGATAAGTGAACAAAGTTGAAAAGAATATTTAGGTAATTTTTTTATGTAACTCCCATATTATTAATTGGGAGTTACAAAATAAAAAATCCTGATTTTTGTTAATGTAAGAAGCATATTAACACAACTATATATATATGAACCATTGTGTCAAATATGAACAAAAAATTGACATATATATAAACTTGAACTACATAACATTTATGAAGACAATATGAACATAATAAGAATAGCTGTTATACGAAAGAAAATAAATAAATAAACATGTATAAACACAATATGAACAGTTTGTGAACAATAGTTCATTCATTATGAACATATTTAGGAGCGATTCTTTGTCAATTGGAGTTTTATACATGCATTGCATCCACACCGTTTAAGGTTCGTATTACGATATCTTCTCTCGCTGGACTGAAAAGCCATAGAATCAAAATACTTTTTACTTGGGATTCTCTCCCTACTACATACAAACCATCTTGTTTGCATGTCCCTGTTCTTTTTTATTTTTTTGGCATGAAGACGAACATAAAACCCGACATTGTCCGCGTACGTCTGTACATCTTTTCCGCTTCATTTATAGATACTAATTCTGCGTTGATATTTGGTTTAAGCTCGTCATCAACATTGGGATAAAATATTTGCTTCCATTTGAACACTCTCTGACATCGTACTCCGTTTCATGTTCGGAGGGTGTAAGTATGTGAGCACATGTTGATACCATCATAGTTAGTAAAATCAATGAACATGAATATTACATAATTGGAGTAATCAAATACAACAACCAGAAAATAGATTTATTTGGTGCGAGTTAGAGCTATCACTAATGACCATGAGATGATTAATGTGAACATATATGAGCATGAACATATATGAACAACATATGAGATCTATTTGGTTCGAGTTCACAAGTTGTTCATAGACTAAAATAATTGACATGAACATATATGAACAAATTGTTTATATATATTTATTTGGTGCGAGTTAGATCAATCATTAATGACCATGAGATGAGTAATGTGAACATATATGAACATGAACATATACGAACAGCAGGTGATATTTATTTGGTTCATGTTCACAAACTGTTCATAGACGAAAATATTTGACATGAACATATATGAACAAATTGTGAACATGATCAAGCCACATGGGAAGAGAACATCGTATGTTCATATATGAACATATAACCCCCATACTATGAATACCGGGTGCAATAACTTACACAATTTGACATATATGAACACCAGGTGCAAGAACGGTGCTTATATAAAGATTTGGGAGCAAATTTTTGACCAACGAATTGGTAAGTTGACATGAACATATATGAACAGCAGGTGAGATCACTAATGGAAACCGGTATTCATATGATGGGGGTCATTAACATGAACATATACAACTGTGAACATGATGAAGCCACATAGGAAGAAAATATCGTAGAAAATATATGAACACATAACCTCCATTATATGAACACCAGGTCAATCACTTACACAAATTGACATATATGAACACCAGGTGCAAACACTTACACAAATATAAAGATTTGAGATCAAGCTTCAAAAATGACACTTGTGTTCATATGACACAAAATTTCTTCATAAAGTGTTATATATACTCAAATGAGAGTAATAACATGAACACAATAGTTCATGATATATAAAAGTCGGTTATATGACCATATGAAAATGGGTCGTGTATGGAATTTCATTTGAACATGTGAATTAGGTACGTATAATAATTAAAGAAAAACTAACAACACAATATGAACTACAAAAAATGCAACACATCATAATGAATATAATTTCGATTAAAACGAGTACAATAAAATATTAGTTTATTACAAAGACATTCACTTTGGTTATTTTCTTCACTTCCCGAACTCGAACTCCGATTGTCACCATAAACCATTTTAATCTTCTCAATGTTGTTGAGTTCTTTTTCAATGCGTTTATCCATAATAGCTTGAAAATGGAAGATCAGTATTAAATATATATATATATATATACACACACACTAAAAGGGTACTTGCACAATGTAGCGAGATACATCTCGATTTTAATGTTTTTTTTTTGTCACAGGCGATGTTATAATACGATTTTATATGGTTTTGAGAAGGCGTAATGTTTTCATTTTTAAATAAAATATAAATATGAAAATATGATAAAAAAAATTGATATTAATACCAACTAACTATTTAAAATTTCTCTCTTTTTTGTGTATTTCTTTAATTATTTTTTAAAATTTTGGTTTAATAATATAATTTTTTATAAAGATAATAATTAAGTATTTTGTTAGAAGTTAATGACTATCTTAATTATATTTTAGATTTTTTATATTTAAAATGAGATATTTATTCTTTATTTAATTATGTTTATCCGCAGTTAGTTACATGAAGCTTTAATAAGTTGTACTTACGCATAATTTACTTGTAATCTTGAATTTTAAGTAATATGCATCAATTAACAGCACTTCATGCATAAAAAATGGTTTTTAATAGTTTTTGTCAAATGCTTTATAATATAGTATAGATATATCAATATTAAAAATGCATATTTTTATGGATTTTATGATTTTGTAACTCCCAATTAATGAAATGAGAGTTACATAAAAATGAAATTACTCAACTATCATTGGCATTAAATTGTAAGCTAGATAAAAACCTAATAGAAACATGGATTGTGATTGGTTAAAATGGTTTGTAAAGTTAATACAAAAACTTTGGTTAACATTTGATCTTACCTCTCTCTCTCTCTCTCTCTCTATATATATATATATATATATATATATATATACTAGGTTCGATCCCGTGTATTACATGAGTTAATTTAAAAAAAATCATGTCAGGAAACTTATCTTACATATATTAATGATCATCAAAAGTACGATGCTCCTTCAGACTTGTACTCTTGAAATAACTCTAAAGTATAACTCTGAAAAATGACTCTTCAGACTTGTACTCTTGAAATAACTCTGAACTATATAGCTCTGAAGAATGACCTCAGACTTATACTCTTGAAATAACTCTGAAGAAAAACTCATCAAACTTCAGAGCTCTGTATAGACAAGCCAGAAGCTCTGCATGCACTATGCAGAGGCTCTACATGGTGCTCTGCATGGGGCTCCGTCTAGAAAAGAAGACTTCAGAGTTCGGGTGAGCTAACTTTGAATAATGACTCTTTATACTTGTACTCTGGAAATAACTCTGAAGTAAAACTCTGAATAATGACTTTTAAGACTTGTACTCTTGAAATAACTTTGAAATATAAAATCAATCCCACTAAATCAGAGTTAACTTCTAGGCCTGAAAAAAAAAAGACTTCAGAGTTCGGGTGAGCTAAGTCTGAAAAAGAAGACATTAGAATTCGGGTGAGCTAACTCTGAAGAATGACTATTCAGACTTGTAGAAGACTTAAGAGTACAAACTTCTAAGTTTGAAAAAGAAGACCTTAGATTTCTTTTTCTAAGTCTAAAAAAAGACTTGAGAGTTCATACTTTTAAGACTGAAAAAGAAGACTTCAGAGTTCAGACTCCAGAGTTCGGGTGGGCTAAGTCTAAAAAAGCTGACTTTAGAGTTCTGATGAGCTAACTCTTTAAAATGACTCTTCAGACTTGTACTCTTGAAATAACTCTAAAGTATAACTGTTGGTCCCGAAAGGGTCTACAAGATAAGAAATAGTTTGTAGAAGGGGGGATGAATATAAACACAAAGTTTTCAAATTTAAAATATATATTGATAGAGAAGATCAATACAGATTTTACAAGATTGTTTGCGGAAAGATAAGGTATAGGAAACCTATCTAAACAACCTTTAGTCACACACAGAGCTTTAGCAAATACAAGAAAAGAGAATGCTAAAAGAAATATCTTTTACTTAAGCTAGAAGAAACTTGAAGTAAGAATATGRTAARAGARTGATGCGCGCACTCTRTAWGAAGAAGAAACACTTCTATTTATACCCAGTGCATTAAATGCTCATTTAATGCAGTAAGGTAGGGTTTAGAGTGCGTGTCAAACCTTAAGAGGAAGGCTTGTCTTTTGCTACAGTGAATAGTACAAAAGCACTATTCTTGAGCAGACATCCTTGCCTGAAGTTGGTGGACAAAGAGTCGACTAATCGGCTCCGTACAGTACTAACTTTAGTAATGCAAAAGGACAAGACAACAACAATCGTTCTAAGCAAGCTTCTTTTGATTGCTGAATGCTGGAATAACCTGGAGGTCTTATCATCATTCGCTGAAGCTAGAGTAGTCTTCACACATTTGTAGATAGGATCATAATCACTGAATACCGCTTCAGATCACGTACTCACCAGTCTCTAATCTTCAGTTTCAGTCTTCGACATTCGCTGAAGGTTCTTTGGTGTGAGTGTTATCTTCTTGAAGTATTGTTTGTCTTTGAGATTTATAAAACAAGTTCTTTAGCGATCACTGAACATACTCAGTGTATGATCGCTGGAACAGAAACAAAATTACATCGATAGATAAAAGGAATTATCATCAAATCACTGAGAGAGAGGATCAACAAT